GGGCCAGAAAAAAAAAGGGGCCAGAAAAAAAAATAAAAAAAATGGGGGGGGGGGGAGCTGCATTCTCTGTGATCCTATAGGTAACATTTTGCTAGGAATACCAGTCCATTTTTTTTAATTTACCCAGTTACTGAGGATTCATTTCCTCTAATATGCTTTTGACATATTATAAATCACATCATTTTCTGTTTTGGTCAGGACTTCTACTTTCAATCATTTTCTACTGCACACTTAATTTTTTCTTAGCTCAAGCATCACCACAACATCACGCCATCTATTTATCCCAAGACCATTTAAACCTCTCTTAAATCTAGAAGCTCTATACAATTATAGTTTGGCTCTGGATACAGAAAGTATACTTCAGTCAGGTGACGTATTACATCATGTGTGCAATCTGATGCCCTCTAGATTTCGGGGGCCCAACTCTTATTTTGTAATTGGCCAATTTATTTTTCATTTCTTCTCCCAGATGCTCAGGACTGTCTGTCTGTCTGTCTGTCTGTCTGTCTCTCTCTCTCTCACACACACACACATTCTCTTACTCAGTAAGCTTCATACCTGAGGATTTGTTTCTATTCTCAATCCATTATTTCTTCTGATTAGAGAAAATATATGTTCTAACCAATTTTTTAAAAATGTTTTGAATCCTACAATTCTAACAACATCTACTGAAAATAACTTACAATTTTAAGGTATAGGTTTATGATAGAAATAGGGATCTCTGGTCTTTTAGGATGCAACTTCAAACATGTAAGGATATAATTAAACCTATTAATAATTATTTATAGTTAAATGAAAGTTTATGAAACTGATACAAACACATTGAGTACTTGTTATCTACTGGGTCTCTACTGTGGGCTTGGTTTCTTTCCATTCAGAAACTACAGTAAAATATAAACTTTTGCAAGAACATATTATTAGACTGATAATGGTCTATCACTATGAAATTGTTGTTGCTAATTGCTGAATACTCCTACCCAGACCCTGGTCTCTACTTTCATTAGGCTAAGTTTTAAGTGGAGTGTTGCATTTGGGACACAAGATTATCATTTATGTGTTGTCAAGTTGTTGTTGACCCTTAGCAACCACATAGATAGATTTTTTTCCATGATGATCTGTCTCTAACCTGGTCCTTCAGCTCTTCCAATGGTGCACTCATTGCCACTGTAACTTAGCCCATCTATCTTGGGACACAAGAAGCCACTTGAAATATTTTCCTTAGGCACCTGGACTGCATGATTTCCAGAATAGCAGGCTTAAGCAAAGTTCCACCATATAGGAATTGTGCCAAAGATTTGGCAACTAAAAGGTAAATCACAACTGATACAAATGGGCTTCCCTGTTGTACAAGAAAAACAAAGTAGCTGATGAAGTCCTTTGTGCATTCTGAGCAGCATGAGAAATGAACCTTATGTTTGAAAAATGTCCCAATGTAATTAGGGCGTGCTGATTGCTTATATCTCTTGTCCACTGATGATGTAAGGATGACAAACAAACAAGGCTATATTGAGGCATATGCTTATCATATGCTTATCATGCTTACAGATAAGCAGATGAATCAAATTAACATGCATAAGATAGCAGGATATTTCAAGCAGCTCACTCTTTTGAAATACTGCAGAGTGCTTATTCTTTTTCATTTCAATGTCTTTCTCTCAGCAATTCTTAGGGGCAGATGCAAGAAGACCCCCATCTATGAAAGACTTTGTCCCTGCAGAGTAGGAATGATGGAATCTGCATCACATGTCCTTTTATATTGTTCTTTTTACAGAGATATACATATTGCCATTTAACCCTTTTGATCTCTAAATTTCTTCGAAATTCCAATGTTTATTCAGCAGATACCTGCTGGAGAATTGTGACACCATTACTTGGCAAGTGGCAATTTTTTATTTAGTGATCTACTAGATAAAACAATACTTATATGAGAAAAGATAGGATGTAGAGGAAGATGTTTCTCTAGGAATAAG